GGTTGGTTTGGGTTGAAATTTTTCCAAATCGACTAATTTGGTTTTGGTTTAGGATTGGGGTCGAAATCAACCCAAACCGAACCGCGCCCACCCCTGATTACATCCACCACATGATAATTTATCTATTTATACAAGTTTTCATGAAAATCATTGTGTAAAGGGTCATACACAACTTTATTTCATTTTCATTTTGTATAAGTATACACATTTAGATGTTGAGACCTTAAATCCAAAAAGTTGAGGTTTCTCTGGCAAGTTTAATTTTACTAGAATCACATTCAAGAACTTCGGGTTTCTCTAATAAATTCAATTTTAATATGATTGCGTCATTTTATTTTGATTAATATTTTTTAACGAATTTATTTCGATTCTTTACTATTCATAATACGATGCAATATATCATGTGCATAGGTGTTGTCGACAATTTTTTTTTTTTTTGCCTTTTCAATTCTATTTATTTTCTAATAATTGCATAACTTATTGAGATATTTCAATTTTCATTATTTCAGATATCGGAACCTCTTCTGGGGCTTTAAAATTTGTTATGTCAAAATACTCATCAAGAGTATATGCCTCCATAATAGGATCATCTTTACTAATTGTTCCATTTTTGTTTGGAGATTTTTATATTTGAATTAAATATCATCACTTCAAGCGTGTCATAAATTTATTAAATATAACGTTAACTAATTGTCTTCCAAGACGTTAATTCGAGTTGGAGCATATAAAGCTGGAGTGCAAGATATTATTGAACTTTTTGTTCAATAAATGTATCTAAATAAATTATCCTTCGAACTTCATGTTCAAATTTTCTTTTGTGAGAATTTAGATAATGATGCATTTGTACGCTATTGTCAACTTCTTGATTTCTCTTCCTAATGTTGAGAGAATTTTCCAGTCAAATTGATAATCAGCAAACTATTCTTATAAAATATCACCTGTCAAGGTCTAAGATATTTTAAAAGGGTTCAAACTACTCATATATTCTCATCATTCTTTATTTTCTATCTCAGTGCATTGGGTTGGATTAATTTTATATGTACTGTGCTATCCAATTATAACATGGAAAATTATGATATTGACATGATGCGTAATAGCTTTCCCTAAATAGGAAATGAGAAATACTTTGTTCTCACTTAAATTAATTGGAGGCGTTTAACAAGTAATATTGTTAAATCATTTATCGACATCTCAACTAACATTTATCAAAAGGTTGAAATTTAGGATCGCTAACATTAACAAAACATACTGTCTTGATTCTAAAATCTGAAAATTATGCTCATAATTTAAAATTTGAGCCGTAA